TGCAGATCTGTGAATAAAAAATGTTGTATTGTAATGCTTTTTGGAAAAGCTTTAAAAATGATAATAATATGGCTGCAGATGTACTATTTTAGCACCAATGCTGCTGATTGGTACTGATCTCAGTGTCGGAGTCAATAGCAAGGTGCAGTAGGTTAACTAAGCATGGTTAGTTTGGTTGGCAACAGGATGTCTGTGTTCATCTGAAGACTTGTCAAGATTTTTAGCCAGTGAACAAGTCTCCGTGCGACGTGTGTCAACATGTCGCATTCTTGGTAAATATATGCAAAAGTGTCATCCCAAAACAACTTTTTTTCTCACTGTTTTTTACTTGTGCATCTTAAGACTGTGTGTCAATTGAAACATTTATATAGGAATCATTTTTGTTGGATTTTGTCAGACCTAAAATGTTGTAGACAGTAATGCTGTTTTGACTGGTCATTTAGTAGCTTGTTCACTTAGCGTAGCACTGCTTCTGCCGTCTCTTCAACTTACTAAATGGGCGAATGACTAAAATAAATGTGTGAAAATGCACATATTGCACAATTAAAATAATGGTGATGCCAAAATTAATTTCTCTCAACTCAACTCACCTTTATTGTCATTGTTCTCATACATACGTGAAATAAGTAAGCATGAAATGCTAAATAAACACAATGAACTGTATTGCTGACGTAGCCACCCCAGGGGGAAGAGAAGTTTGACACCCCTGCTCTATTACTTTGTCAATAAAGCATTTACATAACTGCAAACTCCTACTGATACATAGTATATTTTAAATATAAATAAATATAAAGTGCGTTGAAAAGGGCCATAGAACCTCAAGCATTATTTTGCTGTACAGCACAAAGCTCTGAGCATGTAATTCATATCGTGTATCCTCGTTTATTTATTTTAAATATTAATGAGGTGTACGTGGTGTAGAGGGTTAACTACAACGCTATTTAAACATACTGTATTTTGCAACCGTTCATAATGGGATGTGTGTGTCTGGGTGTGAGTGAGTGTGTGTCTGTGTGTATGGGTGCGTTATGACACCGCTGGCCTGCTGCCTTACATGGGCAAACCTCTCCACTTCTCTGTACGAGGCGGCTGGAATTTCAGAACGTGACGTCAGCGTCCTACAACTCTCCCAGAATTGGGATCAAGAAGTTTCACTTTTTTTCTGCTGGTATTTCAGTCTCTCTCAGCCCTGTTTCATAGAAAGCGAGGTAAGCGACAGCACCTACATACACACACAAGTCCAGCTCTGCTCTGACGCCTAAAACCTCTGTCGTCCAGTCGTTGGCCGTGACTGATTTTAGCCAGTATTTGGCAGCCGCTCGTCTTCAATTCGTTCGGCCTTGTTAGGATGTAATATGGACTCTCTTTTTTTCTGAGTTCACAGCGAGGGCGTGGACATAACACGTTAGCATTGGATATGCTGCTAAAGTTAGAAGGGGAAAAACAACCCAGAGTAAACTTGTTGTTTGTTGCTTTGGCAGCACCAGCGTCTACGTACCAATGTTACACAGACCCAGTGGACATGAAGTTTAACAAAGCGGAACTATTGTGGCGTATTTGCTGTTACTGTTTTAGTCGAGTGCTGTGGCGCTGAGCAATGCGGAAGAGGCTGTCAGCAGACAAATATGAGAGCTAAGCATCCGTGTGCTATGAGAACAAGTAACTCGACAGTCTGGGAGAGTTTTATTTGTTTATTTCTCAATATCTCTCGCAGTAAAAGTGTTCAACAGCCAGTGATTGTCGGGAATGGTTGGTTGGTGTTAGAAAAAAAGCGACTTAACGAGGTTTTCCTTGATAGAAAGTATACAGGTTTTGTAGTAGAACAATGCAGGTCGTAAACAGGCAACTACTTTGCACTTTTATATTTTTTAACTTAAATCGAAATTAGAAGTTTATTATGAGATTTTTTCATACATAAAATAGACCCACTGATACATATACTTGTTCAGCATTAATTAATTTTTTTTTTTAATTTGCCCATTACTGGAAGGTGTCACAGCATTCTGCCCAGTGATTTGCTGTGATGGTTGGGAGTTGGGCCGGAAGTTGGATCAAAGCTGTACCGTCTAAGATATTTTAATTTTTTTATTTAAATCTAGAGGAGGATTTTTGTTGAAATGCAGCCATGTTGATTACCAATTTTACATTTGTATAAAGTGAAAAGACTAGTGGTGTTTGATTTAATAATGTGAAGTGTATAATAACGTATACTGTAGTAAGTGAATCAGATAGTGCAGTTGCTGGGGTCTTTTTATTCCTACAGTTTTCCTATTCCTAATAGCCTACACTGTCAAAATCCCATCATAAGTCACATTAATGTTTTACCAAGGTCACGTTTGGATTATTGTAGTCATTCAATAACATCTACATAAAGTTTTTCTCCACGACACCACAAAAACCCCAAAGCAAACAAGTTTTCCAAAAAGGACACAAAAGTGTTACATTTGTCAGTTGGCCACATTTCTAGTGAATTAACTTGAGACATTAAAACATAATTTTCTATGACCACCCATTTAAAACATCATCTGTTTTAGATACAATGGATAAAAAAAGGTAGAGGTTAATCCAAACAACCCGGAGAACACACCACACATAGTGCATGCAGGCTGTGTGAAAACTTAGTTAAAAAATTAAAATAAATAAACATAGTAAAGATTGAGATTACAGATCTGTGTTTTTGCTCAGAAGATGACAGAAATACAGCCCCAAACCTGCAGCGAATCTTCTTCATGCCCCACCAACCTGTTTCTGAAAACCCTGTATTCACTCATGCCATGGTGTATGCCCTGTATATTAAAACAGTATCTTGGTAGCTCTAGTTAGTCTTACACACAGCTGGACAAAAGTGTTCCTTATGCACAAAATCTTGGACAAAAACCAAAGTCTAAGATATAGAGACAAGGCAAAGTGACTTAACTGAACATAAAAACATAGGGATACGAATGCAGGAAAATGGCAGCAGGTGTTCTGGATTGATGAGTCAAATTTAAATTATTCAACAGAACAGTAACAAAAGAACAGGCAAAATGCTTGTTCACCAAAGGGCTTAAAAAATAGTACAATAACAATAAGATGAAGGCTGTCCTCAAAGGTGAGAAATACAGGCAGATAAATATCTTCCACACAGTACCATCAGGAAGGCGTGCAATTCAGCATCATGGATTAGTTCCTTTATCCAATGTCTGATTTAGCTATTTCGTCAGTATCAAAACAGATAATTACTATATAAATATCGGAGCAGTGCATCCCTAATTATAACTGACTTCTTTAAACCAAGTTTGCGCGTTCGGAGATGCAGTTTCCAAGAACAACTTTGTGATATTCCACAGAATTGTTAAAAACAAATCTCTGTGGGGAAGTTCATCATAGAGTCCTTGCTGGACTGTGCAGTGCTAACGAACCAAAAAAGGGATGGTCCTGTCTTGCCGCTTATATCCCGGTCACTTGTGAAATCCCCTATTTACTGTACATAATAACAAAAGTGACAGCTGAAACTAGGTTCTTCTTTTTGGCGCTCTTAAAAATATAAATGTAATGAAAACTGAATTATTTCCTTATCAGAAGACTTATTTCAAACTTTGTCTTTGAACATGAATATTAAATTATCGCCAAGAACCCCTGCTAGTGCGCCATCAAACCTCGAACAGCTTCGTGGCTTGTACGGGTTCCTAAATCGGGCTGTATTAAAGGGAACTGTCGCTAAAATCTGTGGTTAAAACAGCCTGTTTGACAGCTGATGATGTTAGAGTTGAAAGACTTCAACAGCCTTTAAACACGGATGTCCTCGGTAGATTAGGCCTGGTTATTCCCTAGTTTGCCTTTCTTGGTAATTTTTGATGAGCATGTTCTTGTTTTTAATGTTTTAAGTCTATACTTTCAACTCCAGCCTAGTTAACTTCAGTGCCCTCTCCTTGTCTGTCAGCCAAAAAGACCCTTTACTTTCTTCAAACTGCATAGAATGCAGAAAACTGTGTCTTCCTAAACCTAATTATTGATCCCAAATGACTGCTTCAGTTAGCGCGTGCGACACAGTGACATCACGAGTGAGGCAGCTCCCATAGCTGCCGCACCTCGCCCTTCTCCCATCCCCCGTATTTGAGCAGAAAATTTGTAAATTCAGTGATTCTGAACATAAAAAAATTTAAATCATACAGAAAACAAATTTATGGAATTTATATAATAGTCAAGTGGACTCTCTCTCTCTCCTTTCTCTCTCTCTGTAACACAGAATAGTACTGTTTTAACAGTATAGTACAGCTTCAACTGTCTTGGTATCGCAGTACACATTTAGTACTGGTATACCGTACAAGCCTACACAAAATCTAGTTTCACTTGATTATCGTTTTGTCTTTCTATTATTATTAGTTTTCATTTATTTCAGTTTTTCTTAAGTTGATTTCGTAAGTTTTTCTTAACTACGATAATGACTTTGCTGTAAAAAGGCATATTGTCGGATGAACTGCCCCAAACAGACCAAATCTATTCCCCAGCCTAACTATTGATGTACTATGTATGAGTAACCCAGACTGTATTAGTAACTGTGTCATTTCTAACAGGTTTTGTTGAACAGTAGACGGTATTGCTGCAGCAATCTTCCAGAATTCGTCGTCAAAGTCAGCGAAGAAAAGGTAACTACTACTATATCGTTAAACAATGAAAAGAATATTACAGATCAGTGGAGTTTTCTGACTGTGGGGCCTTAATGTCCTGAATCTAAATAAATAAAATATTCCGTCTAAAATCTTCCTGCCACCTACACGATTTGTTATGGGAGGCGATTGAATCTGAATGTTTGTTTAAAACGCAACAACTTTTTCAGATCGCTTAAATGTTCAGACTTTGTCAGCATATACCCGATCTCTACCAGCTGCTAACTGACTATTTTTTCAGATTATCAGAGTTATCTCATTGAAAGCACGTCATGCCCTTGCCTTTTTCTGATATATGTATATGTCATGTTTTTTTCATACATTTTATGATATATGTCATGTTTTTTTCATACATTTTTACAATGTGCTTTTAAATAAGATGTACATTTGAGTTTGCCTTCCATCCTAAAGGCTGCACTGTGTTAATGCAGATTTTTTTGCTTGGAAAGATCAACAAGAAAATGTCATGGTTTGAACGGCTGATTGTTATTTTAAGTACTAAGAAAAACTGTGTTTTGACTAAACACGACCCATAAATCACCTGCATTTGGTCTGCTTCTTCTGGGGTCAAAGTCGTCTGTGCAATGTGAGGAAACAGTACTGTTCTGCAAGGCAGTGCAATATTCGCTCTTACACATCATTACAGTAGCAGGATTACCACTGACCACTGCCTCTCTTGGGAAGTAATCAGACTTTAATTATACCTTCTTAACCACTTGAAACGTTCCATGTGGCACAGTGCAGATTATTAAATTGGGTAATCTTCACTCCTCATCTTATTCGTCATAGTGGGATCAGCAAATCAAAATAATCAGCAAATCAAATGATTTTGCATTCATCCCATATTCCTTAAGCCTTAAAATGAGAGATTTCCCTTTGAATTGAGTTCACCATAAATGGGATGCAAGTATAAGAGAATTGTGAAAACCACAATCACCGTTATTATTTCTACTGAAAAGTATGCACCACAGAGCTGGCTCTGTTGAGTAACTTTGGCTCACAGAGTATAGCATTCCAGGCTAAAAGCAAACCAAACAGATATTGCCCTCAATACTGTCTTCATATTTTCCCCATATTTGGAAATGTTTACCTCCTCATGATGGTTGACAGAGATTGGAAGAGGGGATGTGAGTCATTTTAGCTGCATAGTACTTTTGAAGGGTAACTGCAGCCCTCTAAGGGGAGACTATTTAGTGAATATATCGGTTTTCTCTTCTCCCAGGATCTGGAGACAAAATGTGAGTATCTGCCTGTAGAATTTTTTAAATAATTTGTGTTGTTGTAGCACCAAATGAAATCAATTTTCAAAGAAATGTTAAATTATATTTGCTTTCTTCTACTATTCTTTAATAATATGATATCATATAAAGACACTTCTTTTGCTGGTGACAAATGCAGAGATTTTGTGCATTCTGGCAAATTTAAAAGCGTAATATGGGAGTTATTTTTGATTTCTTGTGATTTTTTGTTTTAATTTATTGCCAAGTTTAGGAATGTTTATGGCCGTTAAGGCTATCGTATCAGCAGCAGACTTGTTGCCCTACTTTTCCTGTAGAAGTCTCGTAGTGGATTACGTGATTATGTGGTGGTCCCATTCAACATAAAGTAGATTTTGCATTCTCTTGCTCATGATTAACTGCTGAATGTCTTCTGATCTACTGGAAAAATCATATACAAAGGAGAATTATGTTATTTTGTTACTTGCCCTTGAATCATCCCTGTTTACATACAGTTTGTCGCTGCATCACGGTAGCCCAGTTGTTTAAAGAGATTTTCATAGGCTGGATGTCATTCATTAAATCACTGAATCTCATGGCGTGGTAAAATTTAAGCATTTATATCAACATTGAAAATCTATAGGAAACTGTATTTGCAACAGCTGTTTCTTGACTTTGGGTTTTCTTCTTCCTTTCTGTATTCTGACGATGGGTGAAAGGAAGTAGCGCTTTCTTAACGCACAAACTAAAAATGTTAAACGATAATTGCACGGGTGTACGATTTCAATCACTCATCTTTGACACTCTTCACATAATGTGGTTGCATTCTGTTTTGATTTCCTAACATTAAGATGCTAGCAGTCCTCAGATTGGGAGGGATTGCTTTTACTTTCATAGCAAGTCTTCCAAACGAATCTTGCAAACAAATTAAGGCACGATTAACAAGAGCAATTACACTGAGGAAACTAAGCTGAGGAGTATCAAAATAAAGTGGAAGAGATTATCTTTCTGAGTAAAGAGAATCTCGTCAGGACTTTGATTACTTCTTGTTTTTCAGTTGTTTTTACTCTTGATTACTCTTACATTTAATTAATCGTGAACTGAACTTAATTAATCTTGAAATACCCTCCAAACAGCTATCGCTTGCCCTTACCATTCTTAGGTTTAGAGTGCAGATTAAATCATAATATTTTTCAAACACCAGCAGTAAAGAAGTACGGACTACTCACACAGACTACCACAAACTCCTATGTATCAAAACACATAGGGGTTTGTGGTAGTCTGTCTAAGCGTCAGTCTAAGTACAACATTACGAGACACATAATTCTACAGGAGACTTCGAGTTTTCGGAGTTTCTCATCTTAGTGTTTAGTTGGCTACATGTTAGCGGCAATTATTTTCTTTTAGCATGAAGTTAATCATTACCTCAGTGTAAGTGCTTGGGTACTTTAAAGGAGGGTCTTTTTAAGACTTGGCACACATTTATCCTTCCATAACCACACTATAAAAAAGACCGCAATTTCATAGTGAACCTGCATCTATGAACTTTTTTTTTTGGCTGCATAACTAAGGTAGACCATATATATTCCAATTGTTATGAATAGGAACATTCAGTAGATGTATCTCATAGATGTTCTCATTCTGGTACTTTTATCCGAAGCAGTTTCAAACTCCTTCTAGGACTTGCAATAGTAAAACAAGGCATGTGACTACCCTGTGGCCCAGTGGCAGGATGTTGTATTCACCTGGCTCAAGGTGTGGAAGTGGGGTTGAGTGAGTCACATGGGTTGTGTGAATCTGTCTGTGTTTTTGGTGTGAAGGGGTTAGGTTATCGTCCAGTAAAAGAGTGTCCTTTAACACCTTTAGCGGGCCACAAAATATTGTACTGCGGGCCGCGAGTCTGAGACCCCTGTCTTAGAGGCATATAAGGAGAAGCTGTTTTGTCTTTACAGTCAAACATTACTTTCCTTTGACATGCTATTTTTGTTCACTTGGGGTTAAAGATTGAGGCCTGGGTCTAAGTGACTTGCCCCAGCATCTGCTATTGAATTATTAAATTTTATATGGTATAGCATGCTAGTGGGTAAAATTCCACGGTGCAGTTTATGCACAGAGCTTACATGGCTTGCTTGCAGATTTCTGCTTTAATTCTACGGTAGCAAGCTGCGACATGAAAGCGATCCCGTGCTTGTTGCGGGATGTTTGTGTCTATGTAGTTTGTCCTTTATCAGTGCGATGATGTCATAAATGATCCGTCGACTCGACTTTGACTTTACTGCGAGATTAGTCGATGTGAAAATATCAGAGGTCGTATGTGTCAGCGTCAGTTGATAGCTATACTGACTTTGATGATTTAATACAAATGCTCTCATTGGGAAAAAAGTCGCGGGCCAACCTCAATATATATTGAGAAATTGACTGCAATTTTTTTCCCTTCTCTCCAGATGTAGAATTTTTTCATACGGAAACAAGCTTTAGCTAAATTTGAGCCTTTCGGTTTCCTTTTTAATGTTTCCTTTTTTACTTAATGTTTCCTTTTTAATGTTTCCTTTTTTACAGGCCAACAACAACAAAAACAAACAAAATGTATGTCCTATATCATAGCGCATACACCGCTGATGCTACAAATCCTGCCAGTATATAGGAGCTATATACTGGCGAACATACTCTAGTACACATTTGATATGATCTCACCGGAGCTTGACACGTATGCTGTAAAGCGGAACTCTGTGCAAACATTTAAACCATAATATTAAAGCACTGGGGCAGTGGTGAGGCAGAGGTGCACCACACACAGCAGAGGATTGTGTGCAGTGGTGTGTGCGCTGTGCATTAATGACAGCATACGTATCACTTTCACTTATGGAATTTTTATCCTAGTGTAAACAAAGATATTTACAGTCTTTACATACCTACTTGTACCTGAGTGCTGGAGGTATCATAAAGGAAATCACGATTTGTCAACTAGTAGCAAGGCATGAATGTTCAGCCAAATGTTGAAACCTCACATTTTAGACTCGCGTATCCTTGGAGTGACTATCGTAGTGGCTCACTTTTCTCCTGAGTGCTGGTTGAATGGTTATTTCTATACATGATGTTTCCGCAAATGTTTTGTTTGCTGCCCCCCGAGACACCCGCGTTGCACAAGTTACATCCGGCTGTTGTACTTCTGTGAGTGTGTAAAATGCCGCTAGGCTACTTGACCGTGGTTCAGGTTTGAACTACTGTTTATTGACACATTGGCACAAGCAGTTGCGTCTCACTTTACTTCATATCGCTTCAGTTACTGCGGTTTATTTGAACATCTGTGTGATAATTCAGGCTTATGGATCAGATCCTAATAGTCTGAGTATCAGATGGAGCCGTCCTTATGTAGTAGTTGGACAAAAAGAGGCTTCAAAATGATCAAATGCTAATGTGATCAGTGAAAAAATTGAGACTTTGGGATTTAGTCTTCAGAAATGACCCTTAGAAATCACTCACCTTTCAGTATGTCTACATGAACTCATCATGAATGGTTATCAGGTCAGACTTTGCTCTCGTAAGATACGTGCATCCTTTCAAGGATATTCCCTGCTCCCTTGTCTGCCCCTGGGCAGATTTCTGTATTGTGCTACCTTGTTCATTTCATCTGAGCATGGCTTTTACTCGGAGGTAAATAAAGTGGTTATAAATACACCCGAAGCCTAGGACAAGGTGTTTTCAGGAATATGTATTTTTCATTGCTGCGGTGCCTTTTAAGGATGCCTTTAAAGATGTAAACATTGGAGCTCCATACAGTATGATTTCTTTAGAAGCAGTAGAAAAAGCAGAAACCTGACCTCTATTAGATCTGTACGCTCACGACATAGATGTCTGACACAGCAGACAGGTACAGGAAAACGCATTTAAATTCAGACCAATCATCTTGAATATAGTTAAGAAAACGAATAAAAAGTACAAAGTCTGTCTAAGGGAAGATGAAGACGAAGTTTAGGAAGGTTACAGATTGTTCACTTTTACGTCTCCCTCTGCCTGTCCATCATGTCCTAATGAGTGAAGACTTTTCAGAGCTTAAATTACATTTCTCCAAAAGAGATGGTGGGTCTTTAGAATTGTGTTAATGGTCTCGAGTACTTAGGAGATCATTTGTGTTTGATAGCAATGTCCTCTATCTGAATGTCTAATGGCTTTGATTATTTGAGTATTTAGCTCATTGTGCTTTATCCAATGACTGCTTGACTTAAATAGTTGAACCCCAGTTATCATAATTGGTTGGGCATTGAATGTAATTGTCTCACTTTGTTCAACAGACAATGAAATATGTCAGTACATTTCTGACTGATTTGCAGATAGCCTCTGTAATCCAATGTAATCCAGTGTGAACACTCGGTTAATGAAATGCATTTTTGCTAGGTCATGCCAAAGTATTTGGGAGGAAACCGTTATCGGTTGACTATTTTTTAGATGAAGCCAAAAAACAAAAAAAAAGTATTTTTTCCAGTGCTGCACAACAAATGATTAATCGCATGATTTGCTGAATGGATACGCTATTATTAAAAATTATTTATCTAAATGGTTTGCCTTCCTTATTTTAATTATTTATCTAAATGGTTTGCCTTCCTGTTTTACTGTGTTGTACAATACGTTTGATCAAGTCTGTTTTATTTAAAGCTGTACTTTAAAAATAGAATTGTAATGGTTAGAATGTAAACCGCAGCTGTGGAAATGTGTGTGTGGGTCCAGTGAAAAACGGATTAAGCTACAGTATGTGCGAGTGAATTAATGTGTGTGTAAAGTGATTGACACATCGACTTATTTTATATTTTAAAATATAATTTTACTTAGTTACACATACAGTTTTAAGATGTGTAGATCATATATTAAACTTAGGCTTTTAGGCTAATTTTTGGTCTCTCTGTTTTTAGCCTTACCACTAAACATGTGAATCACGTGATCTAAGACTTATGCTCTCTCTTCTTCACCAAATTCTTACTATAACTTTTCCCTTGGAAAATCACCCTCTCTCACAACAGGGACTT